TTCCCTCGCGTCCGCTCGCTTTTCTTCGACCACCGCGAAATCTCTCTCCGGCTACTGCTGCCGCTGCCGCTGTCGCCGTTGGATTAGTTGGCTCGCGTCGTAAACCGGCTGCTCGGCGGCCCCAGTCACCCTTTGTCAGCCAAGGTCGCTTACGCAGCTCCTTCTCCCCACGCGTCCCACCGCTCCTTCTTTTTTAATCCTCCTCATGCTCTGCAATTGTATCAATATAGTTTTCGATCATCTGGATGAGAATTAGTTTCACGGAAGTATCGCACGGATTCCCTTTTGTCGTCTTCTATTTGTGCTACTCGCTACGGCTTTCGTCGATTCGAGTTACTTGGCGTTAGAGGTTTTTAAGTTTGATTATTTTCAAGAAAGTATTTTAATTACGCGTTTGACTCGATAGTGTCGAAGGTAGTATTCTCTTCTCTTTTCTTTCTTTTTTCTTTCTTTATTCCTCAGTTTAAGTATTATTACACCGAAGTAGTAAGCGCGGTATATTTATATTAGCTCCATTGAAAACAGGGTGTAACAAAGAAAAATGGGTAAATAATCGAAACAGCCTTTGTTTTCTTCTTCGCGCTGTTGCATTTAAAAAAAAAAAAAAAGCATCGCATACATTATTCGAAAGAATAATCGATTTGTCTGTGTAACGTATTCGATTGTGGTTAACCTGTGTCGTTTGAAATGATTATTATTTAAAGCGGTCTTTTACATTGCGCATAAATAATGCCGTTGAAACGTATTTTTGCTTCCGACGGTAATAATAAATCTTCTTTGAATATTCAATTTTTATCAACGAGTTAAAATAATCGTATACTTATATACACGTAAAAATCGATCGAGCAAACACGGATAATTTTGAACCCTACATTGCATTCTTCTTCGAGGATTTCCAACATTTTAAAAATGCACGATCGAATCGAATGCAAGTAGTAAAGTAGTAAAATTCGCGTAACTGTTCGAATCAATTTCCTTTCCTTATTCAACCTTTCAGGGTAGCTTCCAACCTTGAAGTTTGGCGTTTTCTTCGTACAATAATCTCATCTCGCGTATACATCCGAAACTCGAGGAGGTGAATCGAAGGTATTTTAACGATCAGCTGTGCCGCCGTTTGATCGGCCTTCGCCGCGTCCTCGTAGTAAGTGCAGATTTGTGTGAGCTATTTCATAATGAATTTTTAAAGTGTCATGGACCCTTCCCTAACCCAGATCCCCTCCGTTGCTCCCACAAGGCTACGGGACTTTCGTCGATCCAATAAACGAGTAAAGCCGCGTTTCACGCTATTCTTCGCTTCTCAATCGGTGAACCGACCAACCAACGGTTTGCCAACCAACGGCGAAAACCAAAGTCATTATACATCTTCCCTAACTTTCACTCCGCGTCCAACGATCCATCCTTCGATCCATCCGATTCGATCAAATTTCAATTCCATCTCTCACCATCTCTCATATTCGAAAAAAAACGAAAGATATATTTTATAGAAGGAGATATAATCCATAAAAAGTTACGTACGCACGCGTTTATCGGTCGAACGGGAGGACAATCGTGTTGATTTTTCGAGGGCGAAAAAAAGGGAAAAGGAGGGGGCGGTAATGGGAAGAGCGGCGGCGGAGGAAGGAGAAGGAAGAGGGAAAAGACACGAGATGGAACCGCGGTCGGAAAAGGGGGAGGAGGAGGAGGAGGAGGAGGAGGAGGAGGCGGGTTGCGAGTTTGGCGGCAGTCGTTTTCCAAGGGATGTTGGGCGGAAGGTTCCCGCGGGGCCTGTGTTATCGCCTCGGCAGGATGACCAGCCCGCGGTATCAAATATTAAACCTACTTGCACCGGCAGCCTATCCTCGACAAGGTATCC